TGGTTAGATGTCATACTTATAGTATTGCATAATATGGTGAAAACGAAATGCATACAACTTAATAATATTTTATGAACACATTATAAATCACAAATTAAAATATACACTTTCAAGTAATCAGATTAATATGTAATTCCACGCTGTGGTTCGAGATGAACATAAATGCATTATCCACGGATTCACTTTTTACTGAGAAACAAGAGACATCGCAAATAATGATTACTTAGAGTGAGGTAGTGAAATATTCGTCAATCCCATGGGTGTTAATATATTAATTTTTACTAAAACCCAGGAGAACATAAATTAATTGAACGTGACAAAATTGATTTGGGTGTTTATTTAGTGCATTATACAGAGTGCGAAATGAGGAATCTGGTCAAAAGGTGATGATGGTTTATCTAAAAACAATTACGTTGGGCACGTTTTTAATAGAAATTATAACACTGTCAACAAATGGTAATTAATCCACATTATGCAAAACAATTCTTATCTGTGAATTTAGATTTTATCTCATATAACTGAATTTTTTTTTACAATTTAATATAAAATTAAATAAGATCAACAATTTAGTGCTGAGACGATAATTATAAAAACAATTATAGTATTGTTTAATTGGTTTTAAAGTTTCAGAAAAAATGAACAATAATACTTATTGATTTAAAAATTGTAATGATACACAAAATAAACTATTAATGATTGTTACATTATACCAAAATAAAAGTTTTTCAAAGCAATGATCATAAACATTTTCAAAGTTTAGTCAATTATATCTCTGGGGAATCTCAAGAAGGCAAAAGGTATATATTCGCTATGGAAAATTTATGGGTTCACAAAAATTACAGATAAACGTTTAGACGAATGACAAAGATTTAAAAGTTCTATGTATGTTCAAAACTTTGGATTAGAAAATAAAAACTCAAAAAATTTATTGAAAAAAAAGTTTAGGTTTCCAAATATAAAACATAAATTTTATTTGAAAACATATTAATAGTTGAAGTTCTCGAAAAAATTTTAAAAGAGAAATAGATGTTTGATTAAGATATTTTAAAATGTTTCGTGATTTTTGAATTATTGACTTGAGAACAGTATTTTAATATAAGCAACATATAAATGTAGAGACAAAAATATCTTCAAATATAATATATCTATTAACTTACAGCGATTTGACTAATTTTTGAGAAATTAATTTTTTAAAAAAATATATATTCAACATTTTATGTGATGCCATCTGAGGCCAATTTCTAAATTACTTAATAATAATATAATGAAAAGACGTATTTTATTTTTACAACCAAACAAATAATGATTAAAAAAGTTAATCACAAGAAAAAATATAAAACTAGCATTGTCACCCCCCATCAATACTTAAAGCTAATTATAAATTTAACACTGTAAAATACATATTTTTTGTAATTGAATTAATTTTAAAACTGTTACAATGTAAATTAAATTGTATTTCTTATCCTAATGCATATCAATTTTTAAATTGCTCAATTCATAGTATTAATTAATTTTTAATTTTAAAACATAGAAAAATGTAAACCAATTTAATGTATTTAGCTCGGGAGTCAGTATACCTACATGTATATTAGATTTATGTTTACACTTCATCACGAACCCATTCATTATTAGGAACAAAATTATAACACGGTTAATTATTGGATACAAAATGCGATTTTGTCCCTAAAATTAAATTTACTTGTGTTTCGATAACTCTCGCATACGTTATATTACTCACCAATTATTGGTACATCCCATATAGCAATACAATTTTTAGGTTAAATTCTGCCAATGTTTTTATCGAGTTATATCTAAATGACAAAAAAAAACCCCCCAACCATCGATATCGATTTATATTTTTCGCATTTCCAATGGTACCACACAACTTGCACACAGTGCTATATAACTTTGGTCCGGTGAGTCCTATGCCACCGCCGACTTTGTTTACGACCGGCACGCCGTCAGGAGAAGAATATTTAAGTACGAGAATTTTACGAGTCTCGCATGAATTTAACAGGATGCATTATTGCTGCGCAAAATGCGATAAAACATGTGACAGTTTCTTCTGTACGGGGCCGTTTTCACTCTAGCCGCAAAATACTCAAACGTGACAACGAACAACAATAATTCGTTAGGTATCCAAACTTTTGTGCTTTAGCAGACACACACGCCATTAAGTATCGGTCTGATGAAGTACATTGGTTAGACATCATTATTTAACTAAAAGGCCTAACGGCATTTCACGTGTCACTTTGGTTTTGGCCTCACCCACGAGATCTTCACCTTGAATAGTATGTCGGTTGGGTTTATAATTGTCCACAAATGAAATAAACTAGCACGACGTGCGTTAGTGTGATTTAAAAACATCAACTTGAGACAGAAATAATATATTATATCATGAAAGTAATAATTGTTTTGTGTATAGAAAAATTTAGTTGATAATGTACATCGACAAGTTGTCTGCACTAAGATACTTATTTACAACAATAACCCTGGAAGAAAAAAATTAATCTAGTAAATGTATTTAAATACTTTTTATATTAAGTATTTTAAAAGTATTTTAAAAACAGCCTTGGATGTAATTGTATTTAAAATCAAATGATTATATGTAATACATATATGTAAATGCTTTTCAAAATTCAAAAATTAAATAGTACCTAGTCACATTTCATATTGTTTTTTGATATTCACTATTTTATTTTATTTATAATTAATATCGAACTATTAAACATTTATTTATTTTATAATCTACAAATAACTGTTAACTTATATTTTTTAATTAATTCAGCATTAAAATATAGCAATAAGTAGGTAGTACGAATTTCTAATAAAATATAAATATGACAACTAGAATTAATAAAGCAATTACTAATTATTACATTTCTTACCTTCTCGTACAATTAATAAAATAAAATAAAAAAGCATTTAAATACAATCCAAGAATTTGTATTTATTCTTAAATACTTTCTGAATGAAAGAATGGTACTTGTATCTGTGTTTATATACAGACTTATATTATATGTAATATATATAAATAATAATTAAATATTTTAAATGTAATCAGTTAAAAAAAAAATACAATAATATACCGTCCTTTATTTAAATACCCATCTAAACTAGGTATGTCTCCAAACGCATTGTTTATAGTATGTTTTATCACTTATGAATAGAAGTAAAATATAATATGAACATTTTATGTCATTTATAAATTCTACGTCAAATTAAAATATAAATACAAAACAAAATAGTTTTAAAACACTATTAAAAACAGTATAATACGTAATTGTATCCTTTACTTTTTTATGTACATAATATAATACTCAAACAATTCGAGATGCGTGGCCAAGAGAGATGTGAATTTAGTAGAAGGTACTATAATTAATACTTTTTTTTTGATAACTTTTCGTACAGTAGGTAGTAACGGGAAATATATTACATAATATGATGTTGTAATACTATACTGTCTGAAAAATAAGTAATATAATATAATAGAAATAATAGCAATAAATGAAGAGTTGAAATAATAATCACCTGAGTAATAATAGGACACATGCTTTTAATCCACCCCTTTCACATCACCAAAGCACCGGTGAAACCCCATGAAAAATATTTAACACCCCAGCCTTTATCTAACAGTCACTTGACGAAGAAAATAAAAACAAAGTAAAGCAAGTAATGCATTTATTTTTCCATAAACTTAAATCAAAAATTAAAAACATTTATTGTAAATTATGTTATTCTGTATTACTCATAACTAGGGCTCAGAACCTTATGACCTTCATAAATCTTTTAAAAATTCACACAAAAAAAATGTTAAAATGACTTATAAACATCCAAAATTAACTTAAAAAATGACAACAAAAATACCAGAAATGACTCTGGTTACTTCACATTTTCAAAAATTTAATTTTAAGTTATGTAAATACTTTTAAACAATTAATGTATAACACTGAATGGTTAAAGTGTGTTTAATGTTTTCAAATAAAAAAGATCGGCCATTGCCCTGTAATAAAGTTTTGTAAGTTGAAAATCTTTTTTCGACTTTCGCAGATGTGATTAGTGCATGTTTGAAAAAAGTGAAGTCATCTACATTCAAATCTTCTGACAAGCCTTCTTTTGTCACTCCTTGCCTTTCCAATATTTTTGAAGTAATCTGATTATTCTTCTACAACTAGTGAAGCATCGGCAAGGCATATTCTTGAAGATTCTAACCATGTGAATAAATTTGGTGACGATCCACGATCCAAAGGCTGCCGTTAACCATGTTCCCCACCTAGTTTGTACAGGTTGTGAGGGTAATGGAATATTCAGTTCTAGCTCTTTAAAAATATGTACTTACTAAAATAATGAACGACTATATTTCTATAATGGAAACTGAATGTTACAATAAATTGTAACTTTCAACAAAAAAATTCAAATATATGTAAAAAAAAAAAAGTATAAAAATGAGTAAAATGCACCAAACATACTAAAAAAAGACCGGAAATTATAAAATTCCCTGTACATGAAAAAAATGCAAAATAAAAATTGTACCATTAAATTCTATATGCCATGAAACAGAACCTCGAATGTAAGCATTAGAAAAAAAATGTGAATGCATCAAGTTCCGTCCCTACTCATAACCTGTGAACTAAATCTAAAAGTAGGCTGAATAACCATCGGTGTTGAAAAAAATAATAATAAAAGTAATTCTTTTAGACTTGTGAATTCTCTCGAACGTATTACTTTACAGTCCTCGGACTTAAGATGGTAGTTGTAGCTGCCTATCTTATAGTTTATTCAATCATCTATAGTCACCGACTGACTACATTGTTGTACGTTTATCAAATAAGTACTATATACAATATATAGTTACATCTTGTAACCAGATCTATGTTATTTCCAGACCTATTGAATAACTAATAATTTTGTTTAGCATTCTTCAAAAATCTCACATATTCTGTATAAGATACTATTTATGCTATTTCACATGTATTGATAAATATTATTGTGTGTTTTAGGTTATATTGGTGCTAAAAAGCATTAACTATTATGAAATCACGGCTATCAGTGTTATCGTCCAGATAGTCAGCCATTGTCTTGCGTACACCAACTCATGCCTGAATCCAATATTATACGCGTTCTTGTCGGAGAATTTCCGGAAGGCATTCAGAAAAGTGATAATTCCATGGAGACCGGAAGTGAACGTCCAAGGGAGATTCGCAAACGGAGATGCCCGATCGATGGCTGTCACTAGGACGACTAGGACGACTAACAACGACATACTTTGAAATACCGGAAAGAAAATATCGAAATAAAACCAAGGATAAAACATTTAAGGTATAATTGATATGCATTATAGTTATTTAAATATAAAAAAGTGAATTGACTCAATATAATTCAGCGAGATCAAGCAAGGTTAGTATTACATGAAAAAGCAAAGTTGACAGATAATGTATCACTACAGTTTCCTTTTTCAAGGAATTATTAGAATTAAATAATAATTAACAAACAGAATAAATGTTTATTGTTAAACTAATTTTAAATTGTTCAACGAGGGAAAAACGCATCTAGTTGACTAATAAAAATATTGTGTACGTGGTATAATTTAGTTAGGATTATTGCACTCTGTCTAGGATTTTCTAAAGAAATATAATTGATAATTGAGTGTAAGTGTGCAGTAGTTAATAAATAAAATGGCATAAAATAAGTGATCTGGCCAGCCATGGTCTCCGGCCTCACTGACTACCAGAATTTATGTGGAAATTGCAGTACAAGTTAATTAATTTCGATGAAATTGGAATTTCGGGGCTATTTTTAAAACATTGTTAAAACCTGTTTAGGATATGTTTGTGGCTTTTACAAGTAACAACTTCAAATGAAGATCGTTAGTTAAATTATGTTTAAAAGTGTTTATTTATTCATTACGCAGCTGCTAATTGCTATTCTATACGAATACGATGGATAATAAATGATTACGGAGTATCGACGGAGTGACTGAATGTTGCATATTTTACTCTTGTCTATACTCCCGTTTGATATTTATACTTAAATAAATAATCATATTACATAACTTTATATACTGCAAATGACTCTGTTTAGGTATGACGTTACAAAAATTAAAAATCCTGTTCATCCAAGAAGATACATCGTATTTTAGTTTTAGCTTAATGTATTTCGATTCAAATCCAAACGATTAAAATGTTTCCTAAAGAATATTAAAAATAATTTGTATTAAAATACTTATGAACTTTGTACCGATCAATTATAAATTATAATGTTTTAAACATAGTATAGAATTCATGTAATTGACACTTTATTTTTCAAATTTAAAATCATAAAAATATATTATCAAATGTGAAAATTGTCTATCAGTCTAAAGATATAAAATATTACATAAATTATTGTTCTATAGTATAGTAATTTATTTTACAACTATAGCTGAGTTTAGGTAAAGTTAATTTTTCCAAATCAGTTTCATTTACAGTATTATTAATATTTAATTACTTAAAATAGTATCTTAATAGTTTATATTTATTTTGAATCAATACTGACTTAAGTACCATAGAGCGGCGAGAATAAGTTTGTAATAATGTGTAATTGTGTTTATAAAGATCACCACACATTTTCCGAATCTGTATTCCCGAATGACAACATTATAAATGCAGATAGCATAATATAAGTAAAAATTAAAAGTTCCAACGACCAACAAAATAATTAAAATCATTATTCGTTGTTTAAATAAAATATATGTATGGCTTCATACAAATTTGAAAAAATATGTGATGGTATAATCTTTGATTTATAAACAGATATAAAAAAACCATGGTGAGATACATTTTCAAGCTTTTTACCCCAAAATAAAGTACCAACTAGATTCACTTTTTTACTAGAAACCAACCTCAAAGTTAAAAACCAAAGCATTTCTATTACTCCTAAAGATTGGTAAAATTAATACTTATTAATACACATTTCTTTAAAATTAATAAAAAAACACATCATTCTCCACCCAAAATCTGAAGTTAAGTAAGTTGATTGCGGAAAACGTTTTAGCTGTACAATTAAATAACTACTATATTTCATATATTATAAAGAATTATCATAATATTTACATGTTTTTAATGTTTTACTAATAAATAACATGGTTTTCACTCATTTTCATATGATAATTATTTTATAATTGAATATTTCATTTTTCTTTGAATATAACGAACTGAAATATTTGTTTTTAAAAGCTTCTCGTTAAACATTAAGTATCAAGTATACTATCTTTAAAATTATCAAAGCACTCAATTAGTAGTTATTTAATTGAAAAATGAACTCTCCACAAATATTTAAGCCATACCGTTATAAATATAAAATGTATTCTAAAAATGCCAAGTACATATTATAGGTAATTCTATAATCTATGAACAAACTAAATATATTTTATAATTTGTGTTCAAAACAAACTCCATTAAAAACTTTGTTTCTCATTTTCCCTGGTTATAGGTATGTTTCCAATTGTGTCAGCTAATAATATAAAACACAATATAGGTATATTATAAGTATTATTTAGACGGTGATATATGATACTATAATTCTCAGCAATTTTTACAGTTGTTGTATTATACTTTCTATATGACTACCAAGTTATAATATTAAAATTAGTATCTTGATCCTATAGGAATTCGAAAAGTTCATTTTGAAGAAAGTGCAAAAAATCAAACTGTTTGAAACTATCATAGCTACTTATACTGTAGTATAAATAGCTTAAAACCAGTTTAAATATTTTGAGTATCTATGTCATGTTGTAAATAAAATAACTATACACATAATAATAAAAGTTGCAAGTCTCTATGATTACTATTTTTTTTTTATATAAAAAAACAAACAAAATTGTTTGAGCAAAAATTGTTATTTTTCGTTTAAATATCCAATTCTATCCAAATTTGAACATCGAACGGTTATAAAAAATGATACAATTTAGTTTCAATATTTTTTAAATTGCTGTATAAACACCTTTTGTTGAAACTTGTATTAAATTTCCAAGCTTTTTCCCCAAGTTGCAATAATGTAGTCAACGTAAATAAAAAAAAAAACCAAACAATTTTAAATATATATAAGAACTGGACTTTCTAGAAAATAAGCAACTCCTACCAACAATACAAAGTCAAATAAGCTCCTGAAATTGTTTCGACATATTATGAGATGGCCTAGAAAAAATAATTATCCTAGGAAAACTACAAGGGAAGAGAAAGAGCGTCCTTCTACTCGATTTATTGACCAAATAAAAAATTCAACAGGAATCAAATCAATAGCAGAAATCATACGAAAACAGAGAAATTTGGAGAAACATCAGTAATCATATTCTCACATAAAGGGTCACGAAGTTGAAATTGGATCAATGAAGATGAAGTAAAAAGCACAAAAAGAGACTACAATTTTTAGAATATTTTATAATGTCTATAAAATCGTGATATATAGGGAAAAATTGTATTCTCTATGATTGCTACTTACTGAGTAACAACAAAGCAATAAAATCTTGTCAAAAAAATTTCAAAAACTGACATAGCTCAGATAATTCATTTTTTACTTTGTTTTTTTTTATAGCATCATCCAATTATTATAATAACTATTGATTACTAAGATATTCCTATTTATGGCCTCCAGAGTAGCAATCAAATTAAATTGTCAACCAGAAAGTAAAAACCACCCTCAATAATCCGATCCTGTAGATCGGCCCAAATGTACGGCTCTAATCCGTGGTAACAGACGAAAAACACATAGGTAGATGCACACAATATCATAGTAAACCCAATACATTCTTCACTTCACTCAGAAAAAAAAATACCAGTGTGACTCAGTTTCTAATAAAAATTAATTAAAATCCAATGAACCTTAGAATACAAAAGCTATTCAAAATGACCGTCTTAATATCTATAAGTAATCAAATGTGATGAGTATAGTTGTTTTTAATAGTGAATGTAGCTAAACTATTAACTTTCAATATCGTAATACATCAGTATTAATATACGACTATAACATGAGTGCATATTATGGCCTCTAAATTAAAAACAGTGGCTAATGAAATCATGATCTACTTGAAATATTTAATATTATAATACGGAACTGGATTTAGGATCCAGATATTACATTAATAAACTGCACTACTATAATATTATTTCTAGAACTAAGTTATATTTAAAGTATTATTATTATACCAAATATATTTAGATGTTGAAGGCACCTAATGACTATAATAGCATTTAGTTCAGTCGTTACTTGTTATCAGATATGCACGTTGTGTAATAAGGTGTGAAAAAATATTTTTCTTTTATCTGCCATAAAAATGAACCGACACTTGAAAACAGTTCTTTCAACTTTTCCCAGACGAAAAACTAATAAAAATATATCCTTGTATGTTGTAAACGATACCTACCAGAGTCGTCAAACAAAAGGCTTATGAACGAAAACACATCAGCGATAATATAACAAAAAAAACTGTTTTCATAAAAAGATATACCGTAAAATATCTACATAATTTGAATTAATTTTAGGTTAGAATAATTTTATCATTATAATTATAGTTTTGTTATTCAGCTGATTACCTATTAATAATATTCGTGATTTTAAGTACATTATGTAAGATACATAAATTATTTTTAAAAAACATTCCATTACCAAAGAATATTGATCTGTGGATATGTAGTAATAACTCCCATATAACATAGTGATAATCATAATTTTAACTAAATAAATGAATAAATTGAACATTCAAGACACTTAAAATGCTAAATATTCGTTATTTAAATCTTTGTACAATGCTATTATTTATAAAATATTTTTTTATTTGCTTTAAAGTATTATAAAATGTACCATTGTGGTGTTGTGTTTTATAATGATTTTTGTTTAACTTAAAAGCTTTTAATAATACTTTTATTAAAAAAAATTTCTTAAACTGTATAAACCATTAATTTGATTTTAATAAATATACATATACAAGTTCTTTAAATATTGAAAGTTTTCTTATTCAGATTAGCTTTATCAGTATAACATTATAGTTCGGTCAAGTCAAGACTTTTAAATACGCTTTTTTATTTTGATTTACTAACATTAAAATATAAAACAAAAAATAATAAATGTATTCAAAAGATTAACACTATCATTGAAAATCGTTTAATAATATAATTTATAGTAATATTATTAATAACAATCAATCGTTAAAATTTTTTTTTAATTTTGAACATATCAAGAATGCTTTTGCTTAGTTATTTATATGTTAGTTTAAACTAATTAATTTAGGGATTATTTAATTGGAAACTGTTTTGTAAAGTCATTGCTAATTAGTATTATTATTA